GTAAGCCTTCGGACCTTAGGTGTAATTCCCTTGACTGTTCTACCAAGCCCTGAAAGGGTGGAGGTTGTGATTGTGTATATAAATGCAATAAAATAGTGTAATGCTTTGTTATACGTATGTGTATGCATTTGGTGTGGCATAGGATGGTGTTTCCCTATGTTGGTATGTTGCATGACGATGCGTAAATCATACTTGGTAGTTAGCTGGCCAGTAGGACTATTTGCATCTGAGTTTCCTTAGGACAGCTTGAGAGCTCGAGGGATTTCTCCTGGAGATGTTAGTGCACTTTGCATAGATATGTATTTACTGCATTATTATTGTTATTGCTATTACACTGATATGGAAGTGTGGGGTGGAGAGATACTCCAAGGACCCCTGGTTTACTGGATATATTCGTATATCTCACCCCGTGTTGTGGGGACCCCCTTTCAGGTAAGGATGCTGCAGGAGCCTCTGGTGGCAAGTGGCCATATCTGGATTATGCATGAAATGTGGCATTCCTTTTGAGTTTATGCATGCCTTTTGTAGTTGACATGTATAGGATTTTATTTTGAAAGCCCATGGTCATTTGTATATCTTGATTCATTGGATGAACTTAGCCTATGCTCATGCCTTTGGTTACACCTTTTGTTGATGGGAGCCAAGGGAATGATCATAGTGTTTTGTAAGCTAAGTTCTATGATTTGTAAATGATATGTAATGTAAATGATGCCTACTTGAAATTCAATATATGCATGCTTGTTATGTATTGAGTTGTTGAATTGGTTGGGCTGAAAATCAATTAGGTACCCTTTGTTTAAATTGGTAAACGATGAGAAAACAAAGGTCATGCTGCCCAAATTCTAGCTAAATCTCATGAGGAGAGGTTGGATGTGTGCTAGGATTTAGTTTTGGGGCATGGACAATTGGGGTTTGGAATGGGGATGCACCTTCCCCTAGACTTGGACTTGAAAAATGTGAGAATTGGAATTCCCTGGCAGCGCGCTTAAGCGCCCAGGAGCGTGCCCAAGCGCCCTGCTGCCCCTGCGAGTGCCAATGCATTCTGCCTCCTCGCGCTGGAGCGCCCAAGTGGGGGCTTAAGCGCCCAGGATTGCGCGCTGGAGCGCCCTGGCGTGCGCTTAAGCGCCCTTTGCTGCAGAAAGTTGGGTGGCTTACTGCCTCCTCGTGTTTTTGCGCCCAGGGTGGGGCTTAAGCGCCCAGGGTTGCGCGCCTGAGCGCCCTGTTGCGCGCTTAATCGCCCATCCACACTGGAATGTCTGATGCTTACTGCCTCCGTGTGCTTAAGCGCCCAGATGGAGGCTTTAGCGCCCGATAGAGCGCACTTGAGCGCCCGGTAGCGCGCTGAAGCGCGCGGGGCCTGTGACCAACACTCTCTTGTGTTGCTTCAATTTGTCCTAACTTGGGCTACAGTGCTCCGATTTGAGCACGGTTTGAAGCCACAAGTAGCTAATGAAGAAACCTACAATACAATAGAAGATGTGAACTAAATAAGAAGTAAATTAATGGTTTAAAAATGGAAAATGAACATGATGTTAAGCTTAATTTATCTGTTTCCGCAAGGTAATATGGTTATGATCACGAAAATGGGTATTATAAGTTCGGTACGTTTTAAAATGAAAAATTTATCCGGATTTTTAATTGAACCCAGGTGATTGTAACTGCGCTTAATATCATAATGCGATGTTAACAAACCGGTTCTAGAACGGGGTGTTACACCTTTGTCTTTCACCGGTGTCTTTGATTCATCTCCAAAGGAGACATTTCCATTCACCGATTCGTTAAGTTCCACAAACATGTTTCTTTTTCCACACATGTGATTGCTTGCCCTCGAGTCTAGATACCATGTATTCTCTTGTTCTCCTACATTGTCATTGCGTACCATCAACAAGGTGCCATCTTCTTGACTCCTTTCCTCCACATAGTTCGCCTTCTCTAATATTTTTCTTGTAGGAGTTCTACATTCATAAGCATAATGGCTGAACCTTTGACAGTTTTAGCATTTGATTTGAGACTTGTCACATCTAGGTTGCGAGCCACCTCTTCCATAACCTCTTGTTGAGCTCTCTCTTTGATCTTTATTGGCATAGTTGTTGTTGAAGCCTACTCTTCCACGTCCACGACCTATTTCTCGACCACGATATCCTCCTTGTCCTCTTGTGTTGCCAAAATCTTCTTCCTTTTCTTTGAAGTTGAGTTGTGTCTTGAGTAATTATTCACCAACCCCCTGTTTCTTCTTTTGCTTCTCCTCATATGCTTGTAAAGAGCCCAAGAGTTTCTCTATTGTTATAGCTTTCAAATCTTTTGTTTCTTCTATGACAGTGACAATATGATCGAATTTCGAATCTAAAGATCGCAAAATTTTCTACATAATTTTTACATCATCTATCTTTTCACCATATCTTTTTAATTGATTAGTCACCGTCAAGACTTTAGAAAAATAATCGGAGATACTTTCGGCATCTTTCATGTGTAAAGTTTCAAACTCACTTCTTAGAGTTTGGAGATGTACCTTCTTGACTGGCTCGACACCCCTGCAAGAGGTTTGTCGCTTTTCCCATGCTTCCTTTGCGGTGGATGCCTCCGAAATCTTCTCAAAAGCATCTTTATCCAATCCTTGATAGATGAGATAGAGAGCTTTCTTGTCTCTCTTTCTTGAATCCTTCAAGCTATCCCTTTGAGCTTGGGATAGAGGAACTCCTTCTTGTGGCTCATTGTAGCCTTTCTCTACCACTTCTCACACATCTTGTGATCCAAGGAGGTCCTTCATCTTGATGCTCCAATTATCATAGTTGCTCTTGGTGAGCATAGGGACTTGGAAATGAACCATGTTGCTACTTGCCATTTCTCTAGAAAGGATCTTAAGGCTCTAATACCACTTTGTTGGGAGGAGAATTTTTGAGAAAAGTAAAGGTTATAGAAAAATATGGAGGAAGAGAACACTTTTATTGCTACACAACTCTTTTTTCTTTTTGGCTTAATACAAAATGATGGAGATGACCCCCTATTTATACTAGTGGCACCTCCACAAAACAATGGCTCCAAATAATTCTAGAGTTTTCTATACTAGCTTAGTATAAATATTAATTGTGGTAGGTGCAACTACCCTTATTACTAATGGCAGGTGAAACTACTCTCTAGAACTTTCATGGAATTGACCAGAATAGAAATTTCTAGATTTTGGGCTAAACTAACTCCTAAAGTATAATTCTAGATGTTGGGCTAAATGTATACTAAGCCCAATGGACCAAAAAATTAAATCAAGTTTATTTATTCAACACTCTCCCCATGAAGCCGGAACCTTACAAATATCTCCATTCTTCTGCTTGGCTGATCTTTTTTGAAGTCACAATTTCGATACTATCCACGTTGATATTGTCGTTAGCATGCTATCCTTTTATATGTCTCGATCTTTTCTTGTAATAAAGGATATTTATGTAAAGAATCAATTCAACCAAAAACTTAAGTTGTTAGGTAATGACTTTTTTAATAGTTTATATTATTCTCTAATTATTTCGCTGCCATGCTACCATTGTCTTTTTAAATATAGGAGGGCACGCCACTTAATTAAAGGCGAAAGTAAACGAAGGAGGGTGGGGTGTTCTTTAGTAAGCAATCATTTCAACACGAGTTCAAGCAGGTAAGTGAATGTCCAATCAATCATTTTTATATTATATTTAGGGAAATGTCATATTTATAAATTTTTTATTTACAAACTACATTATGTCTGACCGGTAATATCTAGTGTAGTTTGTAAAAAAAAGTTTGTCAATATAACCCTACTCTTATATTTATATTAGAGTAAATACCCCTATGGGTTCCTAACAAAAAACACGGTCCCCACTTTAGTCCCGTACAAAAAAAATTAGTCGTCTGATCCCTATGAAATTCAAAGTGGACCCATTTTAGTCTTTTTGAGGGACTAATATGGGACTTTTTTGAATTTGTGAGGGACCACGATTTCAACTAAATGGGTCTATTTTGAATTTCTTAGAGACTTCGAGACTAATTTTTTTTTATAAAAAACTAAAGTGGGGACCGTGTTTTTTGTTAGGGACCCATAAAAATATTTACTCTTTATATTATATTAGTCTAACAAGTCTTATATCATATCAAAGGTTTTTTTTTGCCTCAAAATCGCTAGCATGAAAACTTCTCGTCATTAAAATGAATCGCCCCGGGAGGGGATGAAGAAAAAGTTTAGTTTTACAGAATAATGCAGATTGTTTCTGCATGCTTGTTAATATCCGTAACTGTGTAAAACTTCAAGTTCTAAACCTGAATCTCAAACGGGAACAAATAGTGGTTTTGGGGTATCAATTATGTTATTTTCTACCCTCTTGCCATGATTTTAACATAGATCACGTGTGAACGTATCCTTACCGAGTGAGTTTGATCCCATAAGGTAGCTAGCCTACACTTAACATAGACGAGGTTGCTTTTAAGGGCCAATATCATTAGAGTGCTTATAATCAGATAAAGTCATATTAAGGGAATCTAATTTTGCACCCACTGCCATTTGTTTGAATTAGGTAAGGGAATATCTGTTGCCTTTAGACAAAGTTTAACAAGAAAAGGTAGAAGTAATGATGACCCTGGACGTGGAGAATCACTAGCAATGACGTGATCAAGAGAATTATTACGGTCAAAGGATAAATTACAGATACCAAAGGCCCAGCTCTGCTTAATCGGGACACATACTGAGCTGTGTTCTGTACTTAAAGAGGACCGGCAACATTGAAACTAATGATGAATGGTGTCGCCCCTATATTTCCTTAATCATTTCATTCTCTCAAATCGTAACTCTTTCATGGCGTTCTCGAATGTTTCTATCAATCAATTAACCTACAACGTCTGGCCATAATGATATGAAAATTAGGAGTTCTTTGCTAGTAAAATGCTAAAATGTAACAATTTGAAGTTTAAACTTGTGGATAATTAAACCCTCAATTTTACTAGCTACAAACCCACCACCCCTTCTCTCCTATTGTCCATGCATGGAAAAAGAAAAAGAAAAAGAACAAAGTTTGAAATTTTACTTGAGAGTTGTAAAAGAAAAAAGGACTATAAATCTGTCCAAGCAGCAAAAACTGGCATCTGAGGTAAGGAAATGGCAGGCCTCAAATGGGGTGATGGGTCCCAAGAATTCACATTACTATTTGGACTTCTTGTCAATAGTTTGGACGCAGTTGAAGGCATTCCAGAGAGCATTTGCAAGTTTGTCCTATCTGGGCTACATTCTCTTGAGCTGCTCAAACTTGTGGCCAATGAAGAAGGATTTGACACATGCGTTCTCATCTTACTTGATTCCTCTACTTCTTGATGAAACATGTTATCCAAAGCCATTGAGTAGGACTGATGACATTTTTCAGTCTCAATTCTTGGTGGATTCTGGTTAAGTTGAAGGGAGGATTGATCATGGAGAACCATCTTCCACTGATCTGATTGGCTTTCGCAGTTCTTCTGCATTAGAATGGCTTCTTGGGTGTCATCATATCCAGAAGGCTTATGATCAATATACAGAGTTCCACCATCTATCTCTTTGTTCCGCCTAGCTAGCTCAATGCTAAGTAGGTTACTGCTTGCCATAATTTTTTCCACATCATATTTTGTTATATCGAAGTTGGTTACAGCATTAACTCCTCTGAATTTTATGGCAGCAATATCGTAGGCTTCAGCTGCTTCCTCTTGGGTACCTAAAGTTTCATTTCAATAAGAGCAAATTTATTAGCTTTTCCTGCTAACATTGGAAAAGATTTTTTTTATTTGGCCAATAACATTGGATCAGATTTTTATTTATTTATTTTTTAAATTTTTTGCTAAAAATATTGGATCAGATTCTAAGTGAACAATTGAGATCTGAATAGAAGCATTAGTAAGAGCTGTCTCCTGGACTAACAGTTCCCTACAATATTAGAGTGGCTCATTATCAGCTTTATAGCTGCCGTGAGAAGATGTATTCAAACACCTCAAAGTGAATCCGAGATAAGGTTTTCAAAATTTTCAAAGTTATAAAGCAACCTCTCTGTCGCTTCCTACTATGGGAAACATGATAATTGGAACATGAAACACAAAAACACAAGCCAATAATTAATAATATATTCGGGGGAAGAAAAGTTGACCAGAGTGAACCAGAGCAGAAAGAACTCACTGAAGGTTCCAAGATATAGATCTTTGTTTCCAGCCACCCTACCAATTCGAGCTTGCCACCTTCCATGTTGGTGGTGTCTGCTTCCAAGTGAACAAGAAAGAACCGAGTTTAAATAAATTCAAGAAAATTCTTCTTCAGATATAGATAATATTATTAATTAAATTGTAATGGTATAGTAAGTAATTGTTAGACTATGAGACCTTGTTACTCCTCTGTACATGGAAGCCCCTCTTGAGAATCCACTGCTTTTTCTGATAGGACAAAGTTCAGAGATGTTATGAACAAGTCACATGGTTGTCGACTACTTGATTTCCAGATGATAGACATAAGCTAGGATTTTACCTTCGTAAATGAGCAACATATTCCTGTCGGGTCATGTTCTTCATTTGCTCGAGTTCATTTTGATAATTTTCCAACTGTTAGAAGAGAATGAAAAAAAGCTTTGATAAGATCATCATTTTAGTCACTGTTACTGAATTAGACCTCATAAATTGAGTGGAAACTTGGAAGAGAAAAAAGAAAGATATTAATTATTGGTCATTACAGGAAAGTTTATGTGAGTGGAGGGTCCCCAATACTTGAGTGCGGCCAGATCATAAGCTCTTGCAGCTTTTTCTTCCATATCATAACCCCCTAAAATCAAAATTTTGGAATGACTTGAATATACATTAATTTTCCTCTCGTTAACATCATAAGCAAAGTATTAAATGATATCTATCTTCAACTGTCTGATTAATCTCAGCTCTTGAAATTTCACCCATAATTAAAAAAAAAGGATATATTGGGAAAACGTACCTAGATAAACTGAGATTGGTGATGTATTTGAGTGGCATTCCCCGCAAAGCAAAGAAAAAAACCAAAAGCAATAGTCAGAGGTGACTAAAAAATGTAGATCTTTCCAACGGAGAAAAATAGATAATGGAGCATAGTAGCTATGCTTGACCAAAAATATACACAAGAAAAAACAAAAGAAAAAGTGCTGGGGAATATAGTCACTTTCTTACCTTGTCTTCCTTTCCTGCTTTGGCCCTCTTTCTTGCAGCTATTGTCCCATAGATGAGCTTCATATCTACCAGTCCACCTATGCCTGATAAATAAAAAACACCCTTTAGAGATCAAAATAAATCAAAAAACAGAAAACACTAAAAAGGAGATAAAGGGTTACTGTGTTGAAGATGCTGGTGCATGAATCCGACAGAGCATCTTAAGCAAATCAGTGAACAACTGAACTGTATTATAGTCCTATTGTTCGAAAACACTTTAATGTAATGTTAACATATAGAAGAAACAAGATAACTAACCTTGTTACACCTCTATATTGGGAGGTTCTTTGTCCAAAAGTATCAATGGATTTCCTATGAACAATTTGTTTCTGTTCAACCTTTTCAGCACCCCTTTTCTTTGTATCCATGGCAACAGAATCTATGACAACAGGTGATGCACGCTGTGAACTTGTAACACAGCTTGACTGTGAGCTAGGACTCATGGACAAGTTTAAAGACTGCAAATCCCCATATGGCATTGATCCAATGGACCCGGATTCACCTCCATTTTCCTCCACAGGAACAGTCATCTTAGACTCTTGTGCATGACTAGCTGGGAAATTCCTTACAACCCAGTTCTTAAGACCAGGAAATCCATTCTCAGCCATGTGCGGAACCTGGAGATTGCTATCAGAAGTTTGACTTTGCTTGGACCCTTCTAACATCACATCATGGTTTCTCAAGGTAGAGAAATATGAGAAGTGTTGGTCTTGAAGCTCTTGCTGTTGTTGTTGTTGTTGCTGCTGTTGTCGGTTGATGTCTTGGACATGATTTTGGTAATTTGCGTTGTTTGGGTCACGGCGTGAGGGTTGGTTGTAAAACATACTGTCTAAGCTCAGAGGCATTGTTTCTGTGGCACTACACTCATAGTGAGGGGTCCCCATAGCCTCGCTACCTAAGAAATTCTCCAGTTTTGGTGTTGAAGTAGTAGCCATTACTTCACAAAAATAGATAAAAAACAGAATAGTCAAGAAGTTCAACAATTTGCATATTTTGCACAAAAAAACAAGAGTCTCAAAAACAACATAATATAGCAAAACCTTTAGGCCAACCTTGTACTTGTGACTTGCTCAGAGCTTCCATTCCGTAGAGAGAGCCATCAGATTTGAGAGGCATGATAGGCAGGGTAGAATACAATCCAACATTTTCAGCTTCAAGTCCATAATAGTAGCCATAGTTATTAAGAGGAGGAGGGTGGTGGTAAAAGCTTGCTGGAACTACTTCAGCAGCAGCAGTGGAAGGTTGGGACTGATGAGAGTGTGAAGAAACACCTATATTCATTTGAGGAGAGAGTGAGAAACCCAACCAGTTATTTTGATCATTAACGTCAACAGTGTCATCATTTTCCATAGGCTTCATTTTCTCTCAGAATCACTCCTTCACCAAATAACACAAACTCTAACGAAATTTGTCTTAAGGCAAGACAACACAATCATTGGGAAACAAGCAAACTAATCATGCCATATCAACTCTCTAGTCTTCCCACCCCACCATATAGAACAATATTTGTTTTTCTTTAGTTTTTGCTAAGTATTTTTGTCTTGGTTGCAGAACTGACAGGGCCAAATCTAATCATCAATGTAAAGAAATCTAGTTTCCTGCAAGGGTATCTATAAGCTCTCTCTGGTTTTTTTTTCTCTGTCTCGGCATGTATATAAGGGTGTCTCCCCGGACACATTTCTAAAGGGAGCAAAGCAAGTTCCTTTAAACTAAACAAAAAGAATGTATTCCAGCAAGAAATGCTAGGCATCCATCCCGCATTCCATGGGGATCCGTGTATGAGAAAGACCTTCGCTTTTGCTTTATTCTACGCTCCATTCCTTGTCTTTCCTTTTCTCTTTTATGCAAGAGTTCTTACTCTTTAGAATAAAATAAAATAAAAAATATATATCGTTATTGTTATCCCAAAAAGACCTGTGTTGCTTCATTCAAAAACAGAAGGCAGAGGCCTCATTTTTGCATAGTGAGATGCAACTTCTCAGTCCTCAGAAAAGACCCCAAGTTTGAAACCAAAGTCCCTCTCTCAAATTTATTGGTCATAGTGGGGGCACAAATATATGACAAATATATAACATTCATTTAAGTCTTAAACCAAGTCCCTCTCTCAAATTTATTAGTCACAGTGGGGAAACGAATATATAACATTCATTTAATGTAAATGGGGCTTGCTATTTTGCTTGCTTGGTTTGCTTTAAATGTCCCTGTTGTTGAGGAACTTCAATTAGATTTCACGGGCCGTAGACAATGTGTCCCTCCCTCCAGTCACTTCTAAACAGTTTGCAGATCCTGCTCTGCTCTGGACCCCTACAAAAACTTTGCAACTAGAGGACAGGTATCTGCCACCTACAATGTATCCTCTCTCAGAGTTATAGGGACTGGCTCTTACGACGACGTTTCAACAAGTCCAACTTTGTTGTCCTCCACTGCAAATGCGGTGTGGGCTAGTCTCTCATTTTGTCTCATTGATTTGGAAACTCAAAATTACCATTAGGTATAACCAATAAAAGTGATATTTCTAGTTTCAAGCACTGGCTTTGTCTTGGGCTTTTTGGCACTTTCTTTGAGCTGGGGTCATCAGAATCCTATTAACTAACCTGACAGTAATTTTTTTCCTACCCGGTTATTACTTCGATTAATTAATCGATCAAGTACTGTGGTCATGGGATTAGAAAAAAAAAATGTTACAAACTAGCTAATACAATTTTATTGGCAATACTTGGCCTTAACAGTTTCGGGAAACCTATCAGTCTATCACTGTTAGCATTTTAAGAACAAATGATCCTGCTAGAGTAAGTTTCAGGAATGTTCACATATGTATTTAGGGTGCATGGTGCTTTATAGAGTCAAAATGTGAGGTGGGGTGGGATAAGGAAAAGAATGATATATGAAATGATAAATAACCTGGCCCAATGCTACTTGGGCGTTCATGATAGTCTACGCCATTCATCAAGTATCTAGAACAGAGAACTTTTGGTTCTCGTACGTTATGATACAGTGATGCTCTAAAAATTCTGACGTGTTATGTCTGATATTTTTTGATATTTTAATACGTATTGCAGTGACTTAAAAAAGATTCAAAGTTTGCGTTGTGTTGTATTTTTAGTTCTAACTATTAGATTCATTGGATTATGATAACCATTTTATTGAGTTTAATATAAATATTTAGAATATTTTATGTTTCTTTGCAAAATTGATTGGTATTATAAGTTTAGCTCTATTATTTTTGTTAAATTATTAAATATTAAACATAATATACACTACATAAACTGAAAATATTATTTAATATCAAAATGTGTCCTAACATGTCGAAATTTAACATTTTTTAGAATTAACCTGTCAAAATATTGTGTCGTGTAATGTCCCGTGTCGATATAGTATAACATAGGTGATACGTACAACAATAATAATATTAATTTTATCTAAAGTTATTGAGGTGCAAGATGTGCTCTCGGGATGGCCCTGATTGTAGTCAATACTTGCATCAAGACAAAAAGTGAGAGAGGTGAAGTCACCAACATTCTTCAACAGGGAAACTAGCAAGTGGAAAATCATGATCTTTATCAGCAGAGTCTTAATTATAACAACCACGCAAGCTTTCATTTCATCTTTTATTATTCTTTTCTCCTTCAGTTTTGATTTGTCATGACCCATCTTCAAGACACATAAAGCAGATCTGATTATGCTATGCATCCCAACATGGTTTATTTATTTATTTGGTATCCCGTTAAAATAGAGGATGAATTTTATCAGAGGGGCTGAGGGAGAATGTGCCATTTTTTTATTTTATTTTTTTAGTAAACGAGAATGTGCATTTTGAAGACTAGAAACTTACGAATAGGAATTATGACGTGAAGGCCCTTACTAAAGATAGGCGAATTAAATTTTCTTTACACTGTGGGACAACAATTTTTTTTTTTTTTCAGATTTTTCATGGATTAATTGATTAGTTGAATAATTCAGTAAGACAGAATCACAAGAGCGACAAAAAATTTTCTACCAAATTCTTAACACTGCTGCATATTCAAGATTTGAACTCAAAATCATTTATTAAGCTGAAATAACTCCTTACCATTCATGTGCTTGGGGTGGGACAACCAATTTCACCCTCACCAAACTTGCTTTCATGGGGTGCATTTGTTAAAGTCTTAGCGAGACATTTTTGGTACAGTCTTTACAGGACATTTATCAAATCGGTTAATCCCACTATAATAAAGAACTGGCTTTGCGAAACCACGGTAACACGACATGAAACACAACAGCCATTAAAAACAACAGGAAATAAAATATGTGAAGCATAGTTCAATAATTTTATTTTTCTTTGCTTTTTGGCCTTAGAATTAGTTCTATGTATAGTTCTATATATTTATTGCGTGTGCATTGAACAGGGAATGCATGCAAGAAAACTTTAAATATAGATTCCATTTGATCAATATAATCATTAGTTTGCATGCAAATTTGCGTGACCAATCTCATGGGGACAGGAATTCTAGAGCGCATGATTTTGTTTGGGAAAAGAGATCGAGAACGGAGTTTGGCAGTGAAAGAAAGATGCAGCACAGGACCAGTAGTTTAATGTTGAGAAATAGAAAGAGACCCTCTTTTTGATTGTGGTAATGATGAGTACATCCACCCACAAAGCACTAGCGACCAATTAACATTTTGCCCGAAAATTGAAATAGCGAATTGACAAATAAAGTAGCTCCTGTACTGCCTCGCGAATTTTTTTTTTTTTTTTTTTTTTTTTTAATTTCACCATGCTTTTCTTGTGGGACGATGGGAAAAAGAGTATGTTGGGGCCATTTTTTTCGTTGGTGGCTTCGAGGCAATGGACTAGCTAATTCCTTGTTAGCAATCTATCAGGTGTCCTTAAAAAGTGAAAATAATGGTCGTTGATATTGTTAATGAAATCATGCAGTTCCATTTCAATTATTTTGCTAAAAAATATTATAATCACATTGGTAGGGTTATAAAAATCTTATCATAATAACTGATATCATGCTATTTTATAATACTAAAAAAAAAAGTTGTTAACAGACGGAATTATGTAGAATTTCGTCTCAAATTTCATTTATGACGGAATTTGACCGTTTGCGACGGAATTTAATATTTGCATTGGATATTGTTCGTCGAAAATAAGCGCTTTTTTTTTTTTTTTTTTTACCACATCTCTTCTATTCAAAGAAACTATGTAGATATAGCAAGAAGATATCGTCCAAACATCATACCACACTATAGTATATTATTTCAAATGTTAACAATGTATTCTTTGATATTTTCTTAATACTTTTTTTATTTCAAACATCATACCACCCTTCTGCTCTTTATTAATAATTACAACATGAAATTTCATCCAATAATAAAGTATTAATTAGTGTCAAAGAGTAGGGGGCAAACATTTCTCTTATTCCATTTACATAAACAGTAAACAGTGGAACACGATGATGATCACACAAAGAAACTGATACAAATCCTTAAACCTTTTTGGTAAGGCCAAAACGGGTAGAGAAAAACAGATCTCTCGCCCACAGGGGAGACCAAGAGAGCAAGGCAAACAAACCAGTCATGTGACCAAACACAATTTGCTTCGGTGGTTTAGGGCCTAAAACTTTGTTGACAACATGTCTAGCAAAAACTCTACCATCCATTGCTTTATCACCCTGAGAAGCTCTAGCTCGCTCCGCAATGACGTCTTTAAAGTCCTTATAAAGCTTCCACTCATAATTACCTAATTTCTCCAAATTAGCCCTCCCCAAATTTGATCTCACAGACCCTGGCAAAACTAGAACTACATTAATCCCAAATGGCCTAAGTTCTAGGCGCAAACTGTTTGACATAGCTTGCACAGCAGCTTTGCTAGCACAATAAGACCCTGCCCATGGTGTTGACACTATGCCTACCACGCTTCCAACATTAACTATGCTCCCACTTTTTTGCATAGCCATGTGAGGCACCACGTGCTGAACCATTCTTAGTTGCCCAAGTGTGTTAATTTCCCAAGCCTTCCTAATTGTATCAAGTGGTAACTCAGCCAAAGGCCCCGTGCTACCTATTCCAGCATTATTAATCAGAATATCTATGCGACCATATTTTGATATAACAGTGTCAACAGCTGAAGCTACACTTTGATCACAAGACACATCAAGCTCAAGTGTCTCTATGTTATCTGACTCCGAGTCTGACATCTCTTGCATCCGCGTTGAGATGTCAGAGGCAAACACGTGGCAATTTTTCTCTGCAAATGCCTTGCAATACTCATAGCCAATGCCACCTTTAGCACAGCCAGTCACTAGAACAATTTTGCTGTCACTCATTCTTCTTATGATTTCTCTTGTTGAGTTTTTGGGTTCTAATACTCTTATATGAATTGAATCAGATACAATAATAACAAGGATACTAATTTTAATATCAAACTATCCTACATTGTTGCTCATAATTTCTGTTTTTTTCTTATTTTGATTATTATTATGTCATCAGGATAAGGAATATTCTGTTTTTTTCTTATTTTGATTATTATACTCAAAATATGCTTCTTTCATCTTGGATTGGCCGTCTGGCTGGCTATGTTGGAGTTGTTTTCTTTATGGATGTAGTGTGATGGGGATGTCATCCTGTCACTTTCTACTACACTTTTCGCTACAAACATGGCTCCATATGCGCAAGACATTTTCAGCTTTTAATGACAGCCATAGGGATGAATTTAACAATGTGAGAAGCTCTAATAGTACAAATTTGATTCTCCACGTATTACAAAATAAACACATTCAAACATATCTAATTTCTTGCCTCTCTTTCTTCTATGACTTTTATTCCTTTGCTACACTCGTATTCGTATAAGACGTACATTTAAAAAATGTTTGGGGGTTCTTAATAGTGAAATTTCTATAAGAATAAGTAAGTTAACTTTGTAAAGTAACACTGACCAAAATGTTACTCTTCATCAACTTTTTTACCTAAATGTCACGCGAACATTGTTATTTCTCAATTTGCCATGGGGGCAAGTTCGTTACCCGGTGTAGCGAACTCGGTTTGCTGACGTATCACGTTTCTAGTAGACACCAAGTTCGCTACACGGGGTAGCGAACTTCAAACTTTTTTTTTTAACTTGGTACTTGTTATCCACTAGAAATGTCTCACATCAGCAAACTGAGTTCGCTACATCGGGTAGCGAACTTGCCCCCATGACAGATTGAAAAATAACACTGTTCGTGTGGTATTTAGGTAAAAAAATTGGTAAACAGTGACATTTTGATCGATATTCCGTATTGGTTAGTTACAAGGGTAGAAAGCTCTCCATTAATAATGTGAACACTGGAAAATTGCATTTTGGGATCACAGCCTTTCAAGTTTGCAGATTAAGAAAACCAACTCCATTGTGTTGATATGAAGGGAAGTAAAAGGAGGTGAGATATGTCTCGTGGGAACATGGAATCTAACCAAATGCAAGTAAATAAAATTGCCAAACCAAGCATAAGGAGTCAACAGGAAAAAGTGAAATTGGATAGCAACTTATCTGAATGCCACCACAGAACCCTGTTAATGCTATAGTGTATGCATGAGAAGAAAAGGTTCTTGTGCACTTTCTCTTTCTGAGGACTAGTATTTAAGTAACCCTTTTATTGAACCCAATGGCATTTTTCTCTGCATCTCTTAGCCCCATTACTCTCTTTACTTGACTTTACCCTACGCCCAGTCCATTTCTTCTCTCTTTCTTCTCTGGCATTAATGTTGCATGTCGTACTCTTGGATGAGAATCTCTTTTATGACTACTTTGCTGACTGCAACATTCAGCATTTCCTTTTTCTTTTTACCCTCATTTTACTTCCAAATATCTAAGGAAATTGTGGCTATTTATAATTTATGAATTGAGGTAGGATATCTGTACTACCAATTTTTTTTTTTTTTTAGAGTTATCCAACTCTAATTATCTCTTTGAGACGAGTTGGCTCCCTCCGGTATCCCCACGAGCTTCGACTCTTTGAGCCGGCTATGAGACTAATCCGGAGTGCGGGGGAACAGTGATGGCTAAAGGTTCAGCCCCCTCTCCAAGAATGCATTCAGCGGGAATCGAACACATATCCAACCCCACTAACTCAGCGCCAAGTTATCAACTGAGCTGCACCTATTGGGTATTCGAAGAGTATCTAATATCATCTATTATAATTATGTATTCGAGGAGTATATAATTATAATATTAATTTTTTTTTCCCCTCTCTCTTAAGAAATTTTTCAGAAAATAAATTCTAACCTAACTGTAATTAATGAATGGGTTTATCATCTATCATTTAACATGACCACAAAAATTTTCCTACACACACAACATTTTGTGGGGCCCGCAGCAAAAAAAAAAAAAAAACTTCGGCACGCAAAACGAATCTCTATAACATAACACAATCACTTTTCCTACAACATAACTCTTATAAAACCCTTAATGAATTGATAGAAAAAATAAAGTAATAATATAAATATCCACCTTCCTATAACTTATGGTATAAAGACATCCCCGGATCCACCACCCTTTTATCCAAGTTATTGACATAGGCAAGAGGACTACCTGGTCTATATTAGTTCTAGGTTCTAGCCCTGCAGCGGAGACCTACTACTAGATTTTCTTTCACCAGGAAAGAAAGGTCATAAGATACTCAAGAAAATTAAAATTAAAATTAAAATAAAATAGTGAGCCTAATTGCTTCCTAATTTAGTGAACTAAAGCCTATCCAAACTAATATATTCAAAATGTACAGTTGGGGGGATGGTTGCTAGGGATTTCTTTCAATTAAAAAACAGAAAAAGCTAAAGCTTTCTTTCCAGATTTGACTCACTTACAGGTGCCTATCATGTATCCGCTACAATAACAAGACACTGCATAAATTCTTCGTTTTTTATGTACTTTTACTTTGTCTTCACAACATCGTAAAGATTAAAGAATGATAAATATCATATGTTTATTTTTGCATGTTGGCTTTTGTGGGAATTCGATTGATTTGACCTAATCGATGTAGACTGTCCTAAAAAAGAATGACCAATTGACCACCCCAATTTAATAGGTTTAGACCCCGTTAATGTACCCCTGCTCTCATTTTACCCAGTGACTTCAGTCATCAGGTTCATCTTGAGATGCATTTAGAGGTAAAGCCACCTTCAAATTGTAACTATGGTAAGAATCAAATTCTACTAATCATAATGACGAAGACTAAGTGGTAGATTACAGAACATAACGTGCATAATAATACTAATAATGTTGCAGCAACAAAAGAGAGAAAAAAAATTGGTAGTAGTGTTGGGCCGGCAGGGAAGTTCATGACAAGGAGAAATTATTATTTATGGGTTAAGTGAGCAACAACATTAAATGAGTTTAGACACTACAATTAAATCCAAAATCTTAAAACTTCACTCAATTTATATAATGTTCACTCAATTTATTCTTAACCGATATAAAACTTCACTCACTCACACTTGGATTCCTCACCAAGTAAAATGGAGGTCTAAGACTATCAATGCAAAGCTTGAGTACATGCATATAGCCAAGGGGTGTGCAAAAAAACCTGTTCACTTGCCTTATCTTTGATCTGACCTTGACCTGATCTATAAATACCTATTTTTTTGATCTGAATTTAATTACTGATCCACTTTTATTTGGGTCAGTTTTAAACCTGACTTATTTTAATAATTAACTCATTAATCCAAAACTTGACCCATACATTTTATGTGCAAAAAAACAAAACAAAACAAAAAATCAGCCACTTTTATTCTGCATTGACATTATATGATATAAATTATGGAAAATAGAAGTATAATGTTGTAGGAAAATTGTTAAGTTATGTTATAGAGATAGAGATTGTGGGACCCACAATTGTTTTATTTTTTGAAAATAAGTGTGGGTCCCACAATCCCTATATCTATAACATATCCTAATAATTTTCTTACAATATTATTCTTCTTTTTCCCATAAATTTTTTGCTTCTGCATAGGCTGTATCACCTTCTTAACTAGTATATGTTTTACTTAGTATGAACTTTTTAATCTTTTTTAATCACTTATTGTCAGATTAGTTAGACACTCTATTTTTATAGAGATTAGCCCTTCTCTCGTGTTCTATCTACTTTTCTGTCAATAAAGAAATAGGTACTTATGCTAGGCATACGCTAAATTGCATCTCATTTTGATACTTGTGTGTGCTAGATATAAGCTCAAAGTTTAGTATGTGAACCAAAATCTTTGGGTACGACATAAAATATTCCCTTTTTAATTTATCATCAATTTGGAGCTTTTTGGTGATTCAACAAAATCATGATAATTGCTAATTGCAAATATCAATTATAAGTTAGAATGAGCTACCCATGACACTGAATAGTACCATGCAATAGTAATATTAACATTTTTTTTGAAGAATTGGTATTTATTCAACAAATATCGAATTTATTATATAATTTATATATTTTAAAACAAATAAATAATTAAATTACATGAGTTTAAAAATTAAATCAATAACTATAAAAAAATAAAATAAAAAATGTTTTGAAACCAAGTCAAAAACAGGTCAAGTCGGATTTGACCTGATTTTGAAACCAAGTCAGATCCACTTCAGAAACTAAGTCAGGTCAGATCTGACCCAGTTCTAAACCAGTTCAAAAAAAAAAAATCAAGTCAGACCTTACTTGGATCAAATTAAACTAGGTCGGATCAAAATACCTGACCTATAAAACCAAATTTGATTGGGTCGGCACAAAAATCCGACGTGACCCATGCATAGCCCTACATATAGCCATCCTCCAGGAAGCAATGTTTTCAGTCGATAATACTACTTTATTTTTTATTTTATTTACGGGCTAAGCATTTGTTACCATTTGAACCTTGGGATGAGAACGGATTTTCTAGAGTAGCAAATTTAGCTACATAAAATGCAATCATGATCTAGTGGTTCATAATCGAAAAAAAAAATTAATTAAAATACTACTATTTTATAATACATTTCGAATAGATAACACTTTGGAACTAATTTATAGATTTATTGTACCCAGTCACAATCAAAATAAGCATGATCACTTGCGCCTAAAAAAGACGCCACCCATGCATGGAACACGCCTAAAAAATGCTTGACTGGTCACACACAAATTAAGCGCGACCCAACACCTTAATATGCTTTTTCTGGGTGTGACCAACCTCTCCAACGTGCCTGCTTTGGGCGCGATTAGTCCAATTCTCCATATTTAAACCCCTTTTCTCTCTACACTCTTCACAACTCTTCTCTATCATAAACCCTTACTCTTCACTTGCTTATTCATACTCATTTTTGTATTTTTTGTTCATATATTTAAGAATGAATTCACATTCTGATTCTGTTCATGTTGCTCTATAATATAATGGTAGAAAAGTAGAAAGCCGACGAAATGTAATTTTTTAAGGCGAGAAAAGGCAAACACGTTTCAAGCGCAACTCAACAATTGACAAACTGCATCAGAAAATTCGTCAAAAAATAGCTCTCGAAAGTAACCAATCTATCACTCTGGTCACGCAAGATTAAGACAATCTGAACAATACATTAGTTTGCAAGTTATGGATGATGAAGATGTAGACATGGTAATGGAATAATTCTTCAACCAGACAAGTAAAGATTTCTTAGAGTTGTACATGTATGAATCCGGCCTGTGTAAGGTACTCTGCGACCACGTTTGGAATATCGTTAGAAGCTGGTCCCCCTACAGTCTACTGCACGGAGTCTTCAACGCTCGAATCTTGTCCTCGTTCCACACGGCCTGTAAAACATATGTGCGTTGTGTCCGCCTTCGTAGTACTTCCCACCTGTATGGTCCTAGAAGCACATGTGTGGTGGAATCGGTAGGCTCAGCCTTGTGCTTAGATGCAGACCGAGGAGACTCGGACGAGGAGGACTCAACCATTATAATATACTATGAAAAATTACAATTTGATTGTTATAATTAATTTAATTTTAAATAATTAACATGTCGAGTACAAGATTTAGAAAAATATTAAATTACAAATAAAAATTCATTAAATTTAATGCACATCACTAAGCACAATATATTTGTTATGTATGCCCTAAGTCACTACACAAAATAAATTAGACTAACTATGATAAAAATTAATAGCCATCTTAAAAGTATGTATGCATAATCTAATTTATTAATCATGAATAAAATTCCCTATATATATATATATATTATAAGTTACTATAATTCTTCTAAGTCACTAATTATAACCTAAGTTACTAAACATATTATAAATAACTAACCATGTCGCAGAAGTATATCTTATGTCACTATTCATACAATAAGTCGCTAACCATTTCCTAAGTTACTAACAATTTTCTAGTACACTAACAATTTTTTAGGTCACTAGTATAACATATCTTTTGCTGTAATTCAAAAATATAGAAAGCAGATATTAAGACTTACTTGAGTGATAGAACTTCGCTGCACAAAAAACTCAAGGAGAATTGTAGATAGAAATTAGAGCAAACTCTTAGAGAGAAGATAGAGAGATGGTATGAAGTGAAAAAGTGAAAAATGAAGTGTGTTCCACGCATGTGTGGCGTCTTATTTGGGTGCGGGTGATCACGTCCATTTTATTTTAGATGTGACTAAATATAATAAATCCATAAATTATTCCAAACTGTTATTTATTCGTAATTAGTTATTAAAGTAATAATATTTTAATTTTTTTTCCGCTCACAATCCTCAAAATTCTATTTCTTTATTATTTTATCATAAAAGTGTATGATTTAAAGGGGATATCCTCTATTGTCGTGATCTTTTGAACCACCCAATTCCTTGCATACTCCAATCATTTGAGCAATTCTCAACCAGTTAGTCAGAATTCTTAAAACGAAGAGAATTGCTAGAGTCAAATTAACACTTTTAACAGTCTGTTTCCTAAGGATTTCCTAAATATAGCTTGTATGTGATGGCCCAAAAACAAATAACCCAGCTTGAGGATAAGTACATGACGTAGGGCCATGCACCGGAGGACAAAGCTCCCCATACCTCAACACAAAAGAAAGTTTGACCGTTCCAGAGAGAGCGAGAGAAAAGGGAGAAGGGGAGTAAGCACAGTTACAATCATACTATGTTACTGTTATTTTGAGTCTTTTTGGATATGTAACACTCCTTTAGTAATTTATTTTGAGGTATATACCAATTTACAACATTATAATCATTCAGTTAACGGTATGCAAATGATTAAAATTTGAACAGACAATCAACATTTTTATTTTTTATTTTTTGAAATATTTCAATTGGTTCATCGCTTCACAACTAGTCCTATTCGGGATGGATCCTAGAATTAATGCTTTAAATCCCTCGCAAAGATGGTATTTGAAAAGATCAAACACATCCTTACCCTCACCTGCTCAGTTCTCTAATACCAACTGAGCTATTATAATTTGATAATCACAATTTTTAAATCGAGTTTTGTCACTAAGGTATCGAGTTCGGATAAATCTTTAATACCAATGTTGTCAAAATTATCAAATGCGGATTGCGGCATGTCGCGACCAACCCCAAAAAATGCTATAGCGAGTTGCGGTTGCGAAAATAGCAGAATAGATATATGATAGAAATAATAATAAAAAAACATTTTTTAAAAGGAGAGATAGCAAAAGTTACATAGAGAGACACAGATAGATTAAAAAACTCTTAAAAATTTTTCATTACACATTTAAATTTAGGACAAAATTAAAATTTTGTCTTATGACAGCAATATGGCTACGATTTGGCCGCAAATGTGATCGCAATGGCCACTATTGCGTTCCAGTGCAGCGCAACACGATTTCTTGCGGCGAGGCTCGGCAACGTCCACACATCGCAGCTCGTATTGCGACGCAATTAACTACTATGACTATTGTACCCAAGTAAGTACAATATTTTGCCATTTTTGAAAAAACGAGCAATGTGGCAGAAAAAATATATTTGAAAAGTGTTGAATTTTTTTCCAAAAAAGAAAAAAAATTGTGCTCACTTGAGTACAACAGTGGTATCAAAGATTTATCCATCAAGTTCACGGTGAACTATTTAAGAAACAAAATATATATGGACAGAATTCTATAATATTTGTATATGATTTTTATTCATATCCACAGCTTATAATATATTGTCACGTATAGGATTCACAGTGATTCCTACTCTATTAACACAACTCTTCTTAAACTGAACATTCCTAATGTTAAGCAAATTTAAAATTTTATACAGTACAGCGTCAGGCAACAGGAGCTTTGCTGCAGATGTCAAAAATATCATCTAAGGGGGCATGGTCACCAGTCCCTTCGTCTTTCCTTGCATATAATAGCTCCTTTCCTCTAAACACAAACATGCCTCCCTAACAAAAACAGAATTGATCAATTTAGAGAATGCATGTCGTAAAGTAATATTAAGTTTGTTTTCATCCTTTTGCTATCAGATTAATATATCAAACCTGCTGCAACACGCCACTTCTATCATCTGGAGTGGCTTCAATTGTATAGTTCTTGACAGCTTTCTGCAGAGAATCAAATCTTGAAAGCACCTTTGCCTGTAATATCAATTTTAAGGTGTAAAAACCATATATTACTCAGCATACAAAATTGCAATGACGCGCAATATATATATATATATATATATATATATATATATATATATATATACACACTTCAGAAAAGTCAGTTAAGCTTACACTGGCTGGGTTGAAGAATGTTCGGCCAAAACCATAGTATAGGTTCAAAATATTATATGCCTGAAAGAAGGCAAAGTTGATTAATATACACATTTACTAGAAGATGAATTATAGTAGACGAATATTCAATTTGCTACCCACATCTTACCTTGCGGTCAGGATCAGCATAAAGGCAATCCATTGGAAATGGTAGCTGAACATACAATATCAAGTCAAAAATAAAATATCAGTTTTGACATCAAGAACAAGTGCATGCCAGTATTATACAAATAATTATTTTCATGAAAAGTCTTCAGAATTCAGATATGTTAAAGAATTGAGATCCAGATTCTATGCCTGATCGATCAAAATGACCATTCATGCTGCTATCCTCGAGCTAATTTGCGACATAAATGGTGAGCCTTAAACGAAATGGATTTAAACTTAACTGAATCACAAACCATAGAGCCAAAAATATACTTCAGACAAAAAAATGAAAATAAATTTCGTAAGTATGAAACTAGATCTAAAAACCTATATTGAAAATTAGCATCTATTGATTCCAACCTGTCACCTAAAAGCAACCTTTCCAGATCTAATGCCACACCAAAACTAGTAAGGGATGTCCTTTACAATTGTTAAGATAATGATTGTCTACAATTAACTCCAACAATCCCCAAAAAAATAGACTTGTCTCTTGCTTTATTTTTAGAGGTTACAACCTTTTTTTTCTTTACAATCACTTTGTTTTGATTCAACTATAAGAAAAACAGGTTATAAGTACTAAACCCCTCTTATTTTTATGTTATTTTTTAAAGCATGTACTTTTCTAAGAAAACACTGAAATGACAAAAGGTGGGCATAGAAATTACTCGTCCAGCAAGGATACGAGCTTTATTGGGAGTACCAACACCCACTGCAATGAGTTTGACACCAGCTGAATCAAACCTTGCTTTGGATTCTTTCAAGGCTGAAGCCAATTCCCAGCTTAGAGCAAGAGCACACAACCCATAATTAGAAGAAAAAAAAAACTATCGTTCAAAAACAAGTCTTGATTGATGACCAAAAGTGAAGATCAGTTACCAGCACGGGCATCCAAAGTGCCTCAAGAGGGCCACCACAGCCATTCCCTGCAAAAATTAAGACTAAGTTACGCTATTGAAATATCAAACAGTCCATACCCAATGTTACGCTATTGAAAAGAACAGTTACACAAATAAGAACCCCACATTAACCAACACGTTAACTTGAATTGAAACCACAATCTAGGGTAAAAATATTAAAGAATAAAAATAAGAAATTAGCTTGGAATAAAAGAGAGTTATGATATGATGATAAAAATCAAAGCTTTTATATATGACTATAAGCTATGCTGACCTGCTTCTGATCCCAGAGATCTTTGAACATGACTGGCTCGCCGGTAGCGGTGAAAATGCTAACGTCACCGAGGTCCTCCGCGGTTCTGGGACTATACTGCGAACTCGAAGCTCTGGCAGAAATAACACTGCGTTTTAGGGTGAAACTCTTTGTGCCCATCAATTTGGGGGAATACTTAATGGTAGCGGTGGGGATAGTGTGAGAATTTGGGGGTGATATACGAGGATGAAAAGAAGGTCGCAGAGATTGCAGTGTTGCCATGGCTTGTTGAATCCAATTAGAAAATCAAGATGAACCCTCGAATAGAGGTATTGGAACTGTGGAAGACGCTGTTACTGAATATGGAACTGAGACTCGAAGATGTGTCGTCGTTCACGGAGCCACAGAAATTATTTTAATAATGTGATTATATATTATTAATTAGTAATACAAAAAATTTAAATTAATAATGAATTATGAGTATACCATTTCAGCTTTAGATCTAGATAAGGTGCACACAGAAGGGCCCCTCTGTCCCCTATACAATTTATATAAAACCAAAAACAAAAAAGATAGGGTAAACGAAGACAATGAAAATGCCTCCGTTTTTGCATCCTCAATGGCACCTTTAAATGAGTTAACTTATATAAGAAATATTAATCTACAAGACTTTTTATACTTTTTCTTTAAAATATTGTCACCATCAGATTCAATACCTTATTAAATTAATTATCAATTTTTATAAACTAAATTATTTATAACTTATATACAATTTAATAAATTCAGAATATATGCTCACCAAAAAAAATATTCAGAGTACATACATTTTTTTTAAAAAAATCTTTAGATTTTTTAAAATATTATGTTAATTGAGAAGCTCCAATGTGATTTACATAGAATAAGTTTATCTATATATACTTACATATATTATCTCACATTTGTATAATTTTTACCATATAATTATAGGAGTTTGCATTTGTCATTCAACATGACACAACAGATTTTTCTACGCTCACAACATTTTGTGGAGCCCACACTTTTTGAAGAAAAAAGAAAAAAGAAATTACGGCACGCAAAACGAATCTCTATAACATTACATAATTACTTTTCCTACAACATAACGACAAAATAATTTAATTATTGCATTTTAATTAAATAATTACGCATTTATTACAGTTTTGGAAATAATTACGGATCTATTGCACAATGTGACGCCTTTTTTGAGCGTCACATGTGACGCCTCATTTAGGCGTCTCTCACCTAAGGGAAGACGCCCCAATGGGGCGTTTCTCATGAGGTGTTGACACGTGTCATATTTTTTTTTCAAAAAAAAGTTAATTTAATCATAAAACTTCTGAAGGTCGTACTTTTGACTCGGGTATCGAAATCAGGTAATTTTTTTTGATTCCACATAACTTTTCGAGATCTACGAAATGACATCTCATTTCGAGATCTACGCAATTTATAAAAAGTCCATCCAAACAAAATCAAATCATAAGGCATATATTATATGGTTGGAATAAGTAATGAAAAGATAAAACTTTTCCCGATTGTATACATCATCACTCATTATTTATTATGACATTAAGCATAGATATATGATATATCTATACAACTACTTTTTAATAGTATTGTGTTTAAATTTGATCTATTTACTAATCATGAGGGATAACTCAAACAGTAAGTAAGTTTGGTCTTAGGGGTTGAGATAATTTTATAATATCAAAGATTCAGCTTGCGACAAAGTACTCGTGGAGAGAAGAAAATCTCATTATTTAGATGAGTATTAGTTTTACACTTAAAGGTGTGAAATAAAGGTCTTATAATTAACAAAAATTGTTTTCTTATGCTATATGAGAGTGTTCTCTCCTACTCTCCTCACATCGAAAACTGAGCCCCAACTTTTTTCCTTTTTTTTATAAAAAAAAATTGATGACCCACTTTGTTTTATCTCAGCATAAGATAAGATTTGTCACATGTTGCATAAGAAAACTAATGCCCTATAATTAATACCCAAAAAAGAAAGATATAATATCAAGACAATTTATTGGTTGTCTAATCCATTATATAACTGTTATGACCGTTGGAGACATTATGACCGTTAGAGACATTATGACTGTTGGAAACGTTATGACCGTTAGAGAAGTAATTGTAGTTATTATGTCTTTCATGTTTTCTGAGCATATAAATAAGGCATGTATAAAGCATCATGATTGTACTACAATACAATAAGAATTCATTCCCCTATCTCTCTTATCTCCATATTCTTCTTCTAGTTCTTATTATTTTTACAACACGTTATCAACACGATCTGCGATTCATCCCAATCTAGATCTCGGTGGTGACTTTGCAATTTTGGTCAGCCATTATCACCATGTCGAGTTCGGATGGTTTGACGACATAGCCTTCACCGGCGGCATCTTGGAAAGCCTGATCTGTTATAGAAGACAGTGGGTGATATTATATCACTAAGAGATTTGAACCCATGTATAAGGCAGAGGAGGTAGATGATCAGAATTATCACTGTGCAATTATAAAAAATATAAGAACAGACTTACTTGTAGTCAGTATAAAAAATCAGAAGAGATTAATGTATGCAGTAGAGGAATTAAATCCGAGCCCACAGAATGTGTCTCCTTAAGACAATTTGCCCCATCACTGATGTCAAAGGTTGATGGATACTTGTCTCCCAGGATAGAACGGATTTCGTCTGAAGAGTGGCGGCACTACCAGTCAACAGCCCAAACGAACACAACAATATGCCAGAGGAAATCACACCGGAGTATGAAAAGGAACATGCAAAACCGGAAGGAGAAAAATTCCGACAGAGTTTCAGTGCAGAAAAATTGGATCCATTTTCTGAAAGTGTCAGTGTCTATTTATAGACAACGTAAAGTCACGTTCTAAAAGGCACCTATTCGACGACGAAACAACACATCCGTTGGACACGAAAAGACACATTCGTTCGACACGAAAAGACACATTCGTTCAACACGAAAAGACACATTCGTTCAACACGAAAAGACACCCATTCAAGGATGAAACAACATGTCCGTTAGGATGAAACAACACATCGTTTAGGATGAAAAGATACATCTGTTTGTCGACGAAAAGGCACACCTTTTCACTACCAAACTTCTTATTCATAACCAATAGATTGTCTATACAATTTATATATATATATATAAATTCCAACAATCCCCCACATGGATAAGTCAAATCATCGTGACAAAAAATGCACAAGAGTATAAATCGAAAGTGTAATTTCCTCAACGAGAAACAACTGCATCGAGATAGGTGGAGTTACCTTTGAACCTTCTCTAGTGGAAACCTATCGGATATACTCGGTCAATCGGTGGTCTAGGTCGACTTGAACCGTCAACCTTTAGTGTATACCTAGACAATAGGAGTCACACAATTGCTTCTCTAGCATTGTTGGTCCTTTGTTGCGCCCATTTTGGCCGTGGGACACCTGCCTGGTTCTGCGAGTGTTTTAGAGAATCAGCCTTTGAAAAATTCTCATAGAAGCGGCCCTCACTTCACACTCACATAGGTGATTTCTTGTGATGTAACTCACTTATACATCATCTGAACACAACAAATTAAGAAATCATTAAAAGCCTAAGTGCTTACCCTCATAAATACACTGTCTTGTCTTAGGAATGAGTATGAGTTTAAAAACTCCACAGTGTTTAAACAGTCGACCATCACTTAGTTGTCTCTTTGAACCTAGTTCATGGGATCTCCACTCTTCTAGGTAGAGTTACCGCAATGCTCAACAATTGATAGGCCTTAAACCCATTCCTTTTGACAAATTTTCAACCAACTCTCTAGGAATCCCTTGGGTTAACGGATCCGCTATGTTTTCCTTAGACTTAACATAGTCAATTGAAATGATTCCATTCGAGAGTAGTTGTCTTACGATATCATGTTTACGACGTATGTGTCTAGACTTACCGTTATACATGACGTTCTTGGCCCTTCCAATAGCTGCTTGGCTATCACAATGTATGCATATAGATGGTACCGGTCTTGGCCAATTAGGAACATCCTCAATAAAATTACGAAGCCATTCGGCTTCTTCACCGGCCTTATCTAAAGCAATAAATTCTGCTTCCATGGTTGACCTTGCAATGCAGGTTTGCTTGGACGATTTCCAAGACACAGCACCTCCACCAAGGGTGAACACATATCCACTTGTGGATCTAGTGTCGTTAGAGCCGGTGATCCAATTTGCATCACAATACCCTTCTATAACCGCGGGGTATTTCTCGTAATGCAAAGCATAATTCTGAGTATACTTCAAGTATCCCAAAACTCTTACCATAGCTTTCCAATGATTCTCATTTGGATTACTGGTAAAGCGACTTAACAGACTTACTGCATAAGCAATATCAAGTCTGGTGCAGTTCATAACATACATAAGGCTTCCCAACACTTGAGCATATAGCTTTTGTGCTGTAGCTTTACCAGTGTTCTTTAATAAACTCAAATTAGAATCTACAGGTTCCTCACAGGAGTTATATTCAAACTCTTGAATTTCTCAAGAACCTTAGCTATATAGTGAGCCTGTGATAAGGCCAACCCTGTAGATGTTCTATGGATTTTAATACCTAGGATAACGTCTGCTATCCCCATATCTTTCATATCAAACTTACTTTTAAGTAATTGTTTAGTAGCATTAATCATTTGATTATTACTACCCATGATCAACATGTCGTCTACATAAAGACAGACAATGGCAAAACCTTTTTCAGTATTTCAAACATAGACACATTTGTCACATTCATTAATTCGAAATTCATTTGACAACATAACTTTGTCAAATTTCTCATGCCATTGTTTTGGAGCTTGCTTTAACCCGTAAAGGGATTTTAATAAGCGACAAACTTTCCGTTCTTGTCCTGGAACAACAAAACCTTCAGGTTGTTCTAAATATATCTCTTCTTCCAGGTCGCCGTTTAAGAAGGCGGTCTTAACATCCATTTGATGTATTTGTAATCCATTCAGTGCAGCTACTGCGATCAACATCCTAATGGATGTGATCCTTGTAACCGGTGAATAAGTATCGAAATAATCGAGACCTTCACGTTGCCTGTAGCCTTTTACCACAAGCCTTGCTTTATATTTATCAATAGTGCCATTCTCTTTCATTTTTCTTTTGAAAACCCACTTACTTCCTAAAGGCTTATTGCCAGGAGGAAGGTTTACCAATTCCCAAGTGTGGTTGGACAAGATAGACTCTATCTCACTATTGATAGCCTCTTCCCAGAATGGTCCTTCCAGGGACGTTATAGCTTCCTTATACGTCCGAGGCTCATTTTCTAATAGATATGTCATAAAATCAGGTCCAAAGGATGTGGCGGTCCTTTGCCTCTTGCTACGTCTAGGTTCATCTTCTACATCCTCTACAGGATCA